TTTTTTATTAATGTACAAGGGTTAAAGTTATATATTAAAGAAAATATAGGTTACTAACCTGTAGTACTAGTCTAAGCAGTTTATTAAGTGATGTGACATGTGGCCAAGTATGGTTACCCATACTCGGAATTAGTGCTCTGCATTTATCCCATCCAAAGTGCACACACACAGCAGTGAACACACACCCGGAGCAGTGGGCAGCCCGGGGAGCAGTTGGGGGTTCGGTGCCTTGCTCAAGGGCACCTCAGTCGTGGTATAATGACAGGTGTTGAAGGTGGAAGAGAGCGCTGTAGACTCCCCCCACCTACAATTCCTGCCAGACCTGAGACTCGAACTAGCAACCTTTGGGTTACGAGTCTGACTCTCTAACCATTAGGCCACGACTTCCCCATGCAACAGGCCTCAGCTGTTTTTCCAACAGATGAGGCCAAAAAAAAAAGTGATCAATTGTACACATGGACGTGAAAGTCTCCTAGTTTGTCTCGAAACATCGACAACCGCCTTGAAAAGATTTTTTCCGCGTAATAAACAGTAAGTATGTGCTATCTTATCAGCTCCCGCCGTCCGTGCTGAAGTTATCTTCCGTCTGCAGCTGCTGTTGAAGAGAAACAGTGCGCTGGTCGTTTATTTATTTATTTCGCGGCCTGTTAACGATTTTAGCCGCGCAACTGCTCATTAGCACGCGTCTCAAGGACGGTGTGATATTCTCCTGACTTTCCCTGCAGCACGCTTGATAAAAATGGACATTTTTCTATCTCTGGAAAAGCAGTCGAACGGAGGGAGAGACTATTAAGGCTCCTGGGTTTTCTCCGTGCGGGGATTTGCCGTGTCGCCGCTGTCGAGACCCGGACGGCGAAGGAATTCCAATTTACAAGCTTCTCTCCGTCCTGAAAACACGACAGCTGACACGGTACATTCCCAGCATGCCCCAGGAGCTGGTGACGGAGGCCTGACAGATTCAGAGGAGCGCTTCCGTGTCTGTCAGCGCTCGTCAGGAGTTTGAGTCTCTCCGGACTGTGATCTCGTAGACGCCAAGAACAGCCTCTCCGAGCACGACTCAATTTACCAGCTGAAGGTGCCTGCGGGATCTCACGAGTTCATCGTATAGTTGAAGTAGACAGATCTGATTGTGGAAAAATCTGGGATGTGCAGCTAAATTTGCAGCTGAATATACATCTCAGTGTGATATCAATATTGACCATGTTTACATGCACATCATAGTCCTCTTAAGGTCTATATTCTGAATTTTAAAAAAAGAAAGAAGAAAAAGAAAAAAAATAAATAATAGCAGCTAGATTCTGAATTTCTGAATCTCACGCATAAAAAAAGAGAGGGGAAAAAAATAAATAAATACAATTTAAGCCAGATTATTATTAATTCATTCATTCATTCAATCAAAAACATGTTTGCATACACATCATAGTCCGATTAAGGTCTATATTCTGAATTTAAAAATAAAGCTCAAGCAAAAAAAAACAACAAAACAAAACAAAACAAAAAAAAAAATATATATATATTTTTTAAATTAAATAAAATCCAAGCTAGATCATTCATTCATTCATTCATTCATTCATTAATCAGAAACATGTTTGCATGCACATAATAGTCCGATTAAGGTCTAGATTCTGAAAAAAAAAGCTCACGCATAAAAAAGAGAGGGGGAAAAAAATAAAAATAATAAAAAAATTAAATACAATTCAAGCCAGATCATTCATTCATTCAATCATTCAATCAAAAACATCTTTGCATACACATCATAGTCCGATTAAGGTCTATATTCTGAATAAAAAAAAGCTCAAGCAAAAAAAGAAAGAAAGAAAAAGAAAAAAAATAATTAAAAAAATTAAATAAAATTGAAGCTAGATTATTCATTCATTCATTCATTTATTCAATTAAAAACACATTTGCATGCACATCATATTTCAATTAAAGGGATACTCCACCCTAAAATGAAAATTTTGTCATTAATCACTTACCCCCATGTCGTTCCAAACCCGTAAAAGCGTTATTTGTCTTCGGAACACAGTTTAAGAAAACCGGGAGGCTTGTGACTGTACGATTGACTGCAAAGTAAATAACACTATCAAGGTCCAGAAAAGTATGAAAGACATCGTCCGCGAATCGTTATTCAGATCTGGACTTCGGAGCGCGTATCGCGAATCGTTATTCAGATCTGGACTTCGGAGCGCGTATCGCGAATCGTTATTCAGATCTGGACTTCGGAGCGCGTATCGCGAATCGTTATTCAGATCTGGACTTCGGAGCGCGTATCGCGAATCGTTATTCAGATCTGGACTTCGGAGCGCGTATCGCGAATCGTTATTCAGATCTGGACTTCGGAGCGCGTATCGCGAATCGTTATTCAGATCTGGACTTCGGAGCGCGTATCGCGAATCATTTTATTTAGATTGGAACTTCGGAGCGGTTTTGCAAATCTTTTGATTCGGATCGAAACTTCGAAACGTGTATTGTGATTTTTTTTATTTAGATTGGGACTTCGTAGCGCGAATTGCAAATCATTTGAATTTGATAGGAACTTTGTATCTTTTTTCGATTTAATTTTTTTAATATTAAACATTACAAAACAGAGTTCTAAAAACAAAACACTGAAAAAAGAAGGAAAGTATACACAGAGTTTTTTGCAAGGTTAATAAGAAAAATAAATAAATTAACACCTTAAGAGGGACACATAAGACGAATATACAGTTTTCTTTAGATAGTTTCCATATACATCTGTAGATCAACTTTGAATAAAAAAAAGAGAGATTTACCGCCAGTAATTTTTTATGTAGGCCTACATGAAATTAAGCCAGCAGAAAACACAAATTAATTCAAAGTTATATTTTCCAATATTTAGCCTATTAGTTTATCCTTTCATTCCGAAAACATGCACAGTTTATTTGTGCATGTATGTGGTCATTAAAATGCATCTTTGTGTGCAATTTCACACATATCAAATTATTTCATCTCTTTGTTGATAAACACACAACAGTTTTTAATAATATTACTTTCTGACTCATGTATACATTAGAAACAACTGCTTTAATAATTGTAAACTACGCGTGAACTGTTCCTGACAGAGACTGTTACTTACACTATTCAGCTGTAGGTTATCAGGGGTTAATTTTTGTGTCATTTTCTCCCCTAACTTGCTTTGCTAATACAGTACTGCATGCCTGTCTGTGCACTGCAAAGAAATCAATAGCTAATTTCTCTCCATGATCACAGATATTGAAAGTTAGAGGCAGACTTACAGTCGGATGGTGAGGAACAGATTTACCAGCATCAAACGCCACATGACACACAGACGTTTTGCCACAACAACAACAGTCAAGCGTGCTCCAGATTCCCTCACCAGTGTATTGTGTTGTGTGGAGATTAAAAGCCGTGCAAATACAGCAAGAAAATTTCAGGTTTACAACTATTGTACAGAAAAGATTGAGAATAATCATGTCGAAGCACAGTGCTTTGAAGAGGCAGTCAACAAACTTCAAAAGCAATAAAATAGGATCTATTATGAACCGAAATGGTTTTAAAGAAACTTTTACACTTCTCTCTGCAGGAACAAACACTGAAAGTGGCCACATGTGAAGCGGTAACTTGCCACATGCAGATTTCTGAAAGCTTTAATATATCACCTTCAGTGAAAAATGCTTTTATAGCTAACCCTTGTGTTTTGACCCGTAATGGTGCCTAATCGTGGTTTACCCAATTGCCACTTTCTGCAGAACCGGATCGACATCTGGATGACATCTGGATGAAGGACGGCCTTCGGGGTTGCTTGGCAACAAGGTCACACTGGAACACAACTACTGGCGACTAACACCACTTTGGAAGCGTCTCGATACGAGAAGAACCATTTCCACCGATAACATGCAACCGTTGAAATAACATGGTACCTGCGTGTCAGAAGAAGGTCTTTATTGATAACAGGGTTTGACGCAAATATATCTGATATTTACCGTCCAAACATTTTAAGAGGGGCTCACCTGCTCATCAGAAAAACACACAGCACCAACATGAACCGATGATGGGAAAACAACACACTGCGGTGAAGATTTCAAAATCACACACGTATAAAAGACAAAGGAATCAGTTTTTGCTTTGGCTGAACCTAAAAAACGAAATGCACTGTATTTTTTTACTGAAAAGTAGTAACAAGTGCATAATAAATTCTGAACAATTTATTGCTATTGTGGCAATAGTAATTAATAACAAGTAACTGTCTGATTACAAGTATTTTAAAATGTAATCTAATTCCAAGTACTTAATTTTTGGAATTTGATTATGTAATCCAGAATACATGTAATCAGTTAATACCCAGCACTGATTGCAGGTTACTAAAGATCGTGTTAAATCATTATCCGTTGAGCTATTTATCAGTTATTTAGACACCAAACTGCTGTGCAACCTTTTTAGTCTTTTACATTTTCCTTTCTAAAATATCCTACCACTTATATACAATCAGAAAGTCTTCCAGTTTAGACTTTCACACAAAGACGGCATTTGACCACTGTATTTACGAACTTTTGCATGTTCACTGTCCTTTGAAGTCAGTTAATGGTCACATGACATCCAGGTAAGTTTTTAGTAAGTGTTTTATTTTAATTGTTGTTATTTTAATTTTACATTTTAATGATTTAATTAATTATTAGCTTTTCAATAAACGCACAACCCCCCTTCAGTTCCTTCACAAAGCCCAGTTTGGGAAACCTTGATGTAGCGTAATGTTTAATGCACTTCATGCTGTTAATAACAACAAATGGACTATATTTGCTTTCTCTTTGTATTTTCATTTCAATATGGTACAAGAATATCCTATTTAAGTCAATGTGATAAACAAGTTAGATCAAAAGTAATCTAAAAGTAGTCTGATTATATTACCTAAAAGTGTAATGTAATGGATTACGTTACTAACTACAATTTTTGTCATGTCATTTGGAATCAGTAACAGACTACAATTTGTAAATAATCTACCCAGCACTGCCTTCAAAGTTTTTTAATGAAGGCACAGATTTAGGTGTTCATTACAAGTATTTTCATGACCATCATGCCATGCGTTCACTGTGAGGACAACATTTCATCCATGTAGGCACAAGAGTATCTACATAAAAAAAGAGATAGAAAAGTCAAACATCCAGCATCATTGACCAATGTCCTTGAAAATGTGGAAAAAGTTCAGAAAGTTGGTGCGCAGTGCAAGATCGCTTGATATAAAAATACAAATTTCAAAGATAGAGTCTGTGATAGTTTTCCGAGGACTTTGAACGGCAATCGACTTTGGAAGTCTGTTGGACATCAAACAACGCTAAGGATCTCAGAAAGCCGATTTGACCTTTGGTTACGGTCATGGGGTCAGTTTTTTGACATCAGCTGTGTCCTCATGGGCGTCGCTGTCAACGGCTACACTGGGTTGGGTCTCTTGGGTTTCGTTCGAACACGGCGACATGGAGTTGTTTGACGACCCGAAATGATGAGTGTCCACCAGAAGCAGCATGGGTGTCCCGCTCCTCTTCAAGGCCTCGCTCATGGTGATGTGCACTTCCTCCGGCGTGACTCCCAGATCAGACGGCGACTTGCGCTTGATGCGCTCGTAGCTCTTGTCTTGATTCTCAGGGAACGTCTCGCTGTCTTGGAAGCGTCCGAACAGCCAGATGAAGAACCCGCAGAGCACGAAGGCCGCCAGACTCGGGATGAACGCCAGGCATTTGACATCCAGACTGGCGCCCACGTAGCGGCTGTGAAGGAACATGTCTCTCTGGACGTACGTCTGGTTGGTGCGCGGGTCGATGTTGGTGGAGCGCCACTCCCAGGTCAGCGTGCTGCGGTTGAAGTCGCGCAGCGTCTCTGGATCCTCCACAGTGTAGATCTTCTCTCCTGGACCTACGTATTGACCGTATTCATAGGGCTTGTAGAAGATCTGGTTCTTCCACATGTTGAGGTCCAGGATGAGGACCAGGAAGATGATTCCGTAATTAAACCATTTCCCTGAGATAGGGAGAAAAAAGGGGAAGATCAGTGTGTTTGGAATTTATCCCAGTGTATTTCAGACATACTCAAAACACTTTAGCAACTCTGTATAGCAACATCCTGGCAACTACCCAAAACACCACGGCAACTGCATAGCAACGTCCTGGCAACTACCCAAAACACCACAGCATCGGCATAGCAATGTACTGGCAACCCACAACACCACAGCAACTACATAGCAACACCCTTGCAAATGTCAAGGCAACCACCCACAACGCCCAACAAACTGCATAGCAACACCTTGGCAACCACCAACAGCACCCCAGTTTCACAGTATTTTTTTTGCATATGCAGCAGCATTCACACATTCTTCAGAAAATGTAAGAATCTAATTTGTTCTGCATTATTTCTGCATTTGTAAATGTCATGCAGATCTCGGTGAGGTGAAAAACAGCTTTTGAACAGGACAGACTCAGAAACTGTTGCTTTATTGCTGAACAGCAAATTGTTTAAAAAAAAGTGCTGTTTGTTTAATGGCTTTGCAGCTGCTGGTGTTTATCTCTTGCTCTCTCTCTTTCTCTCTCGCTGTCTTACGCTCAGCCACACTGTGTTATTGATTTCATCTGTCATTTACCTTACAACTCAAAGTCTTCACAATTTTCTTGCTTCCTACACAACATGCTCGTTCTCTCTCATGCAGCCCTCCAGATATTGCTTTCCTTTGTTACAGTCCCAAATCAATCGTGCTTATTTTGGCCTGAATTGATTGTGCCATTTCGTATTGTAAACGCCGCCGTCTTCACCACGCCTACATTCATCTCTATCCCTTTCATCTGTCACTTCCTTTTCCCTCTTTTAACTCATTTAGAGCAGGCTGCCACACAAGGTCAAAAACAAAGAGCCCCGAATTTTAATTTGCCGTTTTAGTGTTTCGTGTCACTGAAACTGGAATCGACAGTAACTTTTGAGGTAACTGCTGCACATGATCGTGTTACTAAGACACAATTTTACAGCGAGCCTCTTGTTTATCAGTGACTATAAGAAATGTCAGAGAAAGACATATTTATGTGTGTTCCCAGGCAAAAAGTTAGGTTACAAAAATGTTGTGGGAACTTTTTTTGAAATGTTCCTAAAACATTGAATTGTCCAGTTTTCTTGTCGTGATTGTAACGTTACAAAAACGTTTCTTACAACATTCTACCAACTTTATTTTTACCTAAATGTAATGTTATTTGAAAGTTTATTTTTAATATTCTAAAACATAAAAATGTGCAGTTTTCTTTGCATGATTGAAATATTAATTAAAGGTTACAAAAACATTTCTTACAACATTCTACTAACTTTATTTTCACCCAAAATATAACATTATTTGACCATTTATTTTGAATATTCTAAAACATAAAAATGCCCAGTTTTCTTGTTGTGATTACAACATTATTTAAAGGTTACAAAAACATCTTAGAACCTTCATCAAGTACAAATAAGACCACAAGGATGTTTTGAGAAAGTTGTTCTAAGAACTTTTTCTCTCAGTGTTATGAGAATGTATATTAAATAAAGTTGTAAGAATGTTCCATAAACATTACTTTAAGAACATTTTGTCCTAACATTTATTTAACTTTTTAAAAAAATGTTCCCTGTTAGCTGGGTTTGCACTCCTTTACTGACTATTTGGACTTGTCTGTGCAAACCCTAGTTCAAATGAAGATAGAAAAAGTCACAGCGAGGCACATTTTATCATATAGAACGGAACTGAGTGATATGTATTAAAAAAGCCATCACAGGACACCACTGATATCATCTCAATGTGTTCCTGTCCAACCACACGCCACATTTCTGCCTGAAGAAGCACTTGCGATGGCTGGCTTGGATTCATCTGTAAATGCGGTCCATTACTCTCAAACTTTACGACTCTATGACTGTCCTAGAGCTGTTTAGTAAGTGGCCTCTGGATTCTCACAGGTTGAGGTAGGGAAATATCTCTCAGCTTAAGGAGGTTCTGGAGGGTTTGCCATCTGATTGATGGCTTCTTTAGACAGATCTGATAAACCGACCTGGGCAGCATAGCAATGTACTGGCAACCCACAACACCACAGCAACTGCATAGCAACACCCTGGCAACTACCCAAAACACCACAGCAACTGCATAGCAACACCCTGGCAACTACCCAAAACACCACAGCAACTGCATAGCAACACCCTGGCAACTACCCAAAACACCACAGCAACTGCATAGCAACGTCCTGGCAACTACCCAAAACACCAAAGCATCTGCATAGCAATGTACTGGCAACCCACAACACCACAGCAACTGAATAGCAACACCCTGGCAACTACCTAAAACACCACAGCAACTGCATAGCAACATCCTAGCAACTACCCAAAACACCACAGCAACTGCATAGCAATGTACTGGCAACCCACAACACCACAGCAACTGCATAGCAACATCCTAGCAACTACCCAAAACACCACAGCAACTGCATAACAACGTACCTGGCCAATACCAAAAACACCACAGCAACTGCATAGCAATGTCCTGGTATTTAATCAAAAGACAACAACTGCATAGCAACAACCTGGCCAATACCAAAAACACCACAGCAACTGCATAGCAACATCCTGGCAACTACCCAAAACACCCTAGCAACTAAATAACAACGTGCTGGCATTTAATCAAAACACCTTAACAACTCCATAGCAACGTTCTGGTAACAAATGTCCATAGCAACACTTTAACAGCTAGGCCTACATAACATTCTGGCAACTACCAAAAAACCCTAGCAACTGCATTGCAACGCCCTGGCAACTACACAAAACACCCTAAATTACAACATCCTGGCAACTACCCAAATCACCCTAGAAACTGCATTGCAACGCCCTGGCAACTACACAAAACACCTTAAATTACAACATCCTGGCAATTACTCAAAACACCTTAACAACTGCATAGCAATATACTCAAAACCGTTTAACAACTCTATACAGCAACATCCTGGCAACTACCCAAAACACCCTAGCAACTGCATAGCAACACCCTGGCAACAACCCAAAACACCACAGCAACTGCATAGTGACGTCCTGGCAACTCAAAACACCACAGCAACTGTATAGCAACACCCTGGCAACTGCATAGCAACACCCTGGCAACTACCCAAAACACCATAACAACTAAATACCAATGTGCTGCCATTTAATCAAAACACCTTAACAACTGCATATGTAGCAACATCCTTGTAACAAATGTCCATAGCAACACCTTAACAGCTACATAACATTCTAGCAACTACCCAAAACACCCTAGCAACTATATAACAACATACTCAAAACACTTTAACAACTCTATATAGCAACATCCTGGCAACAATCAAACACACCCTAGCAACTGCATAGCAATGCCCTGGCAACAACACAGAACACCTTAAATTACAACATCCTGGCAACTACCCAAAACACCCTAGAAACTGCATTGCAACGCCCTGGCAACTACACAAAACACCTTAAATTACAACATCCTGGCAATTACTCAAAGCACCTTAACAACTGCATAGCAGCATACTCAAAACAGTTTAACAACTCTATATAGCAACATCCTGGCAACTACCCAAAACACCCTAGCAACTGCATAGCAACACCCTGGCAACCACCCAAAACACCACAGCAACTGCATAGCAACATCCTGGCAAGTGGCAACTACCCAAAACACTTTAGCAACTGCATAGCAACAACCTGGCAACCACCCAAAACACCACAGCAACTGCATAGCAACACCTTGGCACATGGCAACTACCCAAAACACCTTAGCAACTGCATAGCAACAACCTGGCAACCACCCAAAACACCACAGCAACTGCATAGCAACACCTTGGCAAGTGGCAACTACCCAAAACACCTTAGCAACTGCATAGCAACAACCTGGCAACCACCCAAAACACCACAGCAACTGCATAGCAACACCTTGGCACATGGCAACTACCCAAAACACCTTAGCAACTGCATAGCAACAACCTGGCAACCACCCAAAACACCACAGCAACTGCATAGCAACACCCTGGCAAGTGGCAACTACCCAAAACACCTTAGCAACTGCATAGCAACAACCTGGCAACCACCCAAAACACCACAGCAACTGCATAGCAACACCCTGGCAAGTGGCAACTACCCAAAACACCTTAGCAACTGCATAGCAACAACCTGGCAACCACCCAAAACACCACAGCAACTGCATAGCAACACCTTGGCAAATGGCAACTACCCAAAACACCTTAGCAACTGCACAGCAACCATTAAACCATTTCCCTGATGTAGAAAAAAGGAAAATAGAAGATCAGCATGTTGGGAATTGATCCCAGAGTATCTGCGAGTCAGACGGCTGCTTGAGAAAGTGAAATAATTGAGTTGGGAGTCACTTTCTAATGGCTTTTGTTGTTAACGCACTCATGCGGGGTTACTCTCAAACGCTAAATCACCACGCCAAACAATAAGGTTAAAGACTTTTATGAACGGTTGAGCAGGAAGGCCATTTCCCAAGACTCCAGGGAGCGATCATCTATTCCCAAGACGGCCATCAAGAGCCTCGCTACAGTGAGCAAAACACAGCGAGATGGAAAAAGAGAAACCGAAGCGGTTCGCTCGCACACTTCCGTCAGATTTACTGACTCCATTATATAAACGCACGTTTACAGATGAGCAAATACTAATTAGTATGCATTACCAACGCTGCCTTCAAACACATCATTATAAAGAGATGTATCTAACAAGCTAATATTCTGACAGCGTGTCCCTTTGGGAAAGGAATTAATTCATCCGTCCTGTCCCAAACGACAGTTTAGAGCACTATACTGCTTGATTCACCGGCATAATTGTGCTCACGGTGTATTTGCTGTCGTGCCCTACTTAAAGCACAAGTGTGTGTATTTACCCGTGATGTGGATGTGGTACTCATCCTTAAAGATGCGCTTGCAGACGGGCAGTTTGATCTTCAGCTGCGTGGTGGAAAGACCCGGGAGGTTCATGTCCAGATCGCCCATGAAGTGAGGAAACTCCCAGTCCTGGAAGAGGAAGATCCAATAAACATGTGTAAGTGAACACACAATGAATGAATAAACCCTTCAGGAGTTACAGTAGGACATCAAACCTCACAGAGCTACTGTATGCACACACTTCAGAGGGTGGGATGAAGTATGTCTGAAGCAGGGTTGGGCAAAGATACATCAAAATGTAGGCTATTTTACAATAAAATACCAAATACCATAATTTGAAGTGTATCAAAATAAACTACAAAATACAAAACATTACAGACTACTCACCGTGCTCTCTTGTTGTCAATAACTCCGCCCCTCACTTCCGGTTCTGTGGCTGCGGTTCTATGACTGCGGTTCTGAAACTGCTGGTGCTGCGGGTCTGCAGCTGGATATATCTCGTCGGAGGTCATCTCCATGTTTAAAGATGATGCCGACAGGAGGAGAGGCTGGAGCTTCTGACTGTACGCAAGAGAACTCAAGCCAGAGTGGCTTTTTCTTTAGAGGCCATCACTTTACAGTCTTTTAGCTGTGTGAAAAACAGTTTGAGTTATGGGGATAATTCACCCAAAATGACAAAGTTACCATCATTTGCTGAACCTCATGTTATTCTAAACCTCTATGACTTGCTTTCTTCTGCCACACGCAAAAGCATATATTTTGAAGCATGTTTCATTGAAACAGTAAAAGTCAATGAGGTCCAAGAAACAAAATTTCAAAGTGTCTTATTTCGTGTTATACAGGTTTAGAATGACATGAGGGTGAATAAATAATTACAGAATTTATGTTCGTTAAGGACTAATTCTTTTGGTTAAGTTTGGTTCGAATCAGTTTATATATAAATACTATATCAACCAGCTTATATATAAGTATATCAACTCACTATATGATACTTCCTGCTCTGACACGGGGATCAAAAGGCACCTGAAAGTCAGAGGGTAAATTGCACTCCTCCAGTAACTCCTGCAGCTTCTGAGGAGCTGACACACATACATGATAATGTAGATGTATGTACTACATATAAGACAAAATACTCAGGACACAGTTGTTTGAACTTTATCTGTTGATGGAAGATCCGTTCTGTCTTGGTAGAGCACCTTCACTGTTAGAGCCACTTCGTGCAGGCAATTGACGACTTGTACTTGACGCTGGAACTCAGTCAGCATTGCCTCTCCACAGCTCAACAACTAAATATGATAATGACTTACTAAATAACATCACAACAAAAATTGTGCACAGTTTAGAAGGTACACAGGGTGGCTTAACACTTAACACTGGCATATCTTACTCCACTATCTCTTACTGCTATTTAATTAGTAAACATTTTTCTTTAAGTAAGTCATTTTTAAGTCTATTAGTAAGTATTTTTTTTTTTTTTTTGCAGTGGTATCATTCTTGTCTAATTTAAAACAAAAAATGTATATATATACCTGTTGAACATGTTTTTATATAAATACAGTCAGGGATGGGCAAAGATACATCAAAATGTATTTTAAAATAAAATACCAAATACCTTAATTTTAAGTGTATCAAAATAAACTACAAAATACAGCAGCCACACCATGTATCAAAATAAACTACTGTATTTTAACAATTCTAAAAAAAACTTTTACAAGGGAGCATGAAATTTCTTCGCAAACAATGTTTGATATAGCAACAGCTTTTCTCTGCCCGAGTCATGCAATAAATCTGACCTATGCAACCAGTTAACAGATCAAATATTCACATATCCCTGTGATCACCCAGATGAAGGTTAGTTTTAAAGTAACCAACAGTTGACTCAATGACAAACAAGTCATTCATAAGAAGACAACTGATGGCACCTGAATTCATAGCAACAAGTTTCTAACTAATTAATCATTTGAATGTTAATCATAAATATAATAATATATTATGTGTCAGGCAGTCATTTGTGCAATGGTATGCAAAATCATGATCCTACTAAACAGCTACTTCAATTAGGGTACAATAATCAGAAATAAAATATTTATTTATCAATCATTGGACATCTATTTGGAAGTTGAAAACAAACATTTTAGCATTTCAACTATTATTAAATGATCAATATGTTTTGATTTTAAATGCAGCCAGAAAGTAATCAGAAAGTAGCAACAGAACTTGTCAATGAGTATTAACCCAACTCCAACCACTGAATCTATTGAGAGCCATAGACGTATAGAGGACACATACACATTAATAGTGCAGCAACAAGTCTGGGCAAACTACGAAATATGTATTTGAAATACATGTATCATAAATACTGCCCATCCCTGGTCTAAAGGGCAAACCTGTTTGAAGAATACATAAAATAAGCTACTGTACAGGAAATACAACAGATTTTTGTGCATTGTAACATTGTTTTGTGCAACTGCATAGTAACACATAAAATAACTATAATTAGCAAATAACTAGGTCCAGGCATCTAAACAAATCACCCTAGCAACTGCATAGCAACTGAATCAAAATACTTCATCAGCTCTGTATAGCAACATCCTGACAACTACCCAAAACACCTTAACAACTGTTTGTGTGCATGTGTGTGATTGCATATATGTGCATATATGCGCGTTTGTGCATTTGTTTGTGTTTGAGCATGTGTTTGTTTGTGAGTGTGTTTGTTTGTTTGTGCATGTGTGTGTATTTGTTTGTTTTTGTGAGTGTTTGTGCTTGTGTTTGTTTGTGTGTGCATTCGTTTTGTGCATGTGTTTGTTTGCTTGTGTGTTTGTGTTTTTGTGAGTGTTTGTGCATGTGTGTGTCTGTGCTTGTGTTTGTTTGTGTGTGCATTCGTTTTGTGCATGTGTTTGTTTGCTTGTGTGTATGTGTGTGTTTCTTTGTTAGTGCGTGAGTTTGTTTGTGAGTGTTTGTGCATGTGTGTGTGTTAATGTGTTTGTTTGCTTGAGTGTATGTGTGTGTTTGTTTGTTAGTGCGTGAGTTTGTTTGTGAGTGTTTGTGCATGTGTGTGTGTTAATGTGTTTGTTTGCTTGAGTGTATGTGTGTGTTTGTTTGTTAGTGCGTGAGTTTGTTTGTGAGTGTTTGTGCATGTGTGTGTGTTAGTGTGTTTGTTTGCTTGAGAGTGTTTGTGCATGTGTGTGTTTATGCGTGCATGTGTGTGCGTGTGTCTGTGAGTGTTTATGCATGTGTTTGTGAGTGTGATTGTGTTTGTGAGTGTGTTTATGCGTGTGTTTATGCATGTGTTTGTGAGTGTTTATGAGTGTGTTTATGCATGTGTTTGTGAGTGTTTATGAGTGTGTTTATGCATGTGTTTGTGAGTGTTTATGAGTGTGTTTATGCATGTGTTTGTGAGTGTTTATGAGTGTGTTTATGCATGTGTTTGTGAGTGTTTATGAGTGTGTTTATGCATGTGTTTGTGAGTGTTTATGAGTGTGTTTATGCATGTGTTTGTGAGTGTTTATGAGTGTGTTTATGCATGTGTTTGTGAGTGTTTATGAGTGTGTTTATGCATGTGTTTGTGAGTGTTTATGAGTGTGTTTATGCATGTGTTTGCGAGTGTGTTTGTATTTGTGAGTGTTTATGCATGTGTTTGTGAGTGTGTTTATGCATGTGTTTGTGAGTGTTTATGCATGTGTGTGTGAGTGTTT